AAAAACTGTTTCTGATTCTGTCTTTACAGAAAACTAACATGAATTCCAAATATGAAATGACATAGGCTAGAATACAAAAACAGCAAGTTCAAGTTAACTTGGGTGATTTACTTGGTTTTTACTTGAAAAAATTTACTCTCTATTCAGTGGTTTGACCAGGCTTCTAAAGATTGATTCTGAAAATGAGAAGGAAAATGACTTCTGAGATGACTGAAGATGAACTAAATATAAAACAGCTATCTTTATAATGAGAAAAACAAAACGTCTGAAGACAAGACCTCTACTGAGAAGAAGGATGGGAAACGTAGTTTTTAAATTATAAGTACCTAAGAAATGATTAACTAAATGAATTAATACTCATACCAAATCTACTCAGTTTTCATGAGTGATAGGCTAAAATCTCCATTTTAAGAGAGAAGTGTTAGACGTCATACATTTGCAAAAGATTTTTGAAATTAATATTTCTAAGGCTATTCTCTTAAACAAGATCTGCCAGTAAAATCTAGGTGAAAGTCTTATATAGAAAACCAGTATAAGGAGCTAACAGTTTTTTCAGTGTTGGTCTGAACAGGGCCATCAGGTTCTTCAAGATTCTCTTCGAAGAACCTAAAATTTATGAACAACTTAAATGAAAGAATTGAAAATACCGTCATAAATGTCGTTGATTCTATTAAATATGGAATAGTTTGCAAGTATTTTGGAGGTCTGAATAAGCACGATGTATTAGAAAAGTGACAGAATAAAGAAAAGACCACTTACCTGAAGCATATGCAGAGTATGAAACTTAATTAGGAGTAAACAAATTCACAATTATATGATAAGTTTGCATTCCTTTCAAGTATTTAAGAGTGGTAAATTACAAATTGAGATGAATCATGTTCCTGTGAAGAAGAAAGAAATATGCATAAATGTATGAAAACGCATATATCCATTGCAGGAAATGTGAAATATTTCTTCCTGTTTCAACACCGGTAAGACATTAGTAAGAGCACTACAGCTGTGCTGTGAGGACATGAATCAGAATGTTTAAAGGTCTAGAAAATCTAAAACCTTTAAGGAACACACGGAAAAACTGGACTAGCCTGGAATACTGAAGATAGTAGGTAGAAAAGTAGATGCGATAACTTCTGAATGTGTAAAAGATTTCTGTCAGGAAAAAAAAAAAAATCTTTTTTCCTGCCAATTTACTGTTTAAACGAGAAACGATGGACTAAAATTGATCACGTCAAAAGATCATGTCAGATACCAGAAAAACATTCTAATGTGAATACTGTAGATAAATCACCTCTAATTTTACAGAAGTGAAAAGAACAATTCATCTATCAACAATAGTTTTCCTATTTAAGGCCAAGGATTGCACTTGCCATGACATTCTTTCAGCTATATTGTCTATGACTATATATAAATTCTTGCTTCCAAACTGTAGCAGGTGAAGAATATTAAACTTTAAAGTGTTTATTCTTGAAAGACAATGGAAATTATCTATATTTTTTATTTCAGTGCTATAGAAGCCTAGTCATGCTGCATGACTATCACAGAAACTATGAGGAAAATATAGAAAATTGTGCACCCTCAGAAAAGTCGGTTTTATTAGATGGTCAATACACTACAGTTTTATGCTTCATACTGTATGTCTCAATTGCTTTTCTTTACACATTCCTGTTGAATTTAATAATGACTCAAGAATAATGAAATACATATTTTCACCCTTACATCAAAGAGGCTTGATTTAAATCCAGTCTGTTTCAACGTTCTGGAAATTCCTTATCACTTTTGTGTGGAGATCTGTGTCAGATGAGTTGATGCTCTCATATTGACCTCTGGAATTTGTGTCTACATCACTGACACCTATGAAAGGATTCCCATTGCCTTGAGTAGATTTCTATGAAACTCATGAAAGAAATTCCTCAATGAAAATCTGTAAATGTTGCTGAATAATTTCCAATTTAGAAAATAGATAATTGAATGCTTATAATGAGTGCATAACTCCATAAATTTTCCAGGATGTGCACTTAGCAGCAAGGTAGATACATACCAAGCCAGATCCCTGCTGCCCAAGAGGCAAAACGTCAAGAGTAGAAAATCACATAACATTTTTTAACTTCCAAATACACAAAATATAGTGAGAATATATCCCGGATCAGTAGTTATGAGAACAAATTGATAGTAGTTTTGAAGAATTCAGCTACATTTAGCTGCAGTTAATAGCATAATGTGGTGGAAACAAGTCAGTTACTGTGTTTTATAATTTTAATGTCATAAGATTGCTCATGACTTTCTTTTGGCTGCCTCATTGAAGATGTAATAGCATAGGATATTGTGATCAAACTTTACCAGAAGCATATTAATATATTTTTATATATTCTGTGAATACTTCTGTTACTTTATCTTGGGTGTTGTATTGCAGAGTAATATATCATTGTTATTCAAGTGCAAAATTGTTAAAATTAAGTAATTCAATACAAGTTTCATATTTAAACACTGCTTTTCTCCAGCCGATCTCAGAAGTTTCACATGTGTAGTAGTCTGTTAATCCAATATGGTATGATTGTTAAAGGATAATGTGACGAACTGTAATTTAGTTTAATCCATTTCAACATATAACAAATAACAATGGCACATTTTTCCGCTATCAGATTCTCTTTTTATTGTTACTAGTGTTGTTAGAGATGGAACCAGCCTAGTTTTACTGATGAGACAGTTTGGGCACACAGATATTAATTTCTGCACTAACATTCTTCTGACTAAGAATCTAAATTCTTCTCATCTTTTTTTTGGCATGGAAAAGTCCTAAAAATATTTTACTTAGATGAAAAGAAGACAGTGTTGTATCACACTTTCTTACTCTTTAATGGCTTGTCACCCACATAACCTAAAACGTTCTACTTAACACTGCTTTAGAGACTTCAGAGCACAACTACTTTAGAGGATAACCAACAGGAGAGAAGTATTGAGGACCGCTGCTCTGTATTAATTCTCTAGCAGAAAATCAAGAAAGAAACTGTTTTTTCATTGTTGTGAAAATGCATAACATTATTAAGTAGAAAAATCAAAATAGCCTTTGGCCAGTATGGGCTCACAGATCTGTTTGTCATGAGCTAGCTATCTAGACCTTAAGGAGTCCTCCCAACCTTTCTTGAGATTAGAGAGTGCAACTCTCTTCATTTTCTCTTCATAGAGCTCCTTTGCAACTGTAAAGTCAGCCTTAAAAGTAGGATATGGATCTTAACTGACTCTACCTGCACATTTTCTGGATCTTTCTAGATTATTCCACTAAAGTCATCTTATTTTCATCTAAGGACCTTGCACTAATTCCAACCTAACGTTACTCAGAAATAACATATGGAAGTTCTGTTTAGAGTTTTCGTTTATCTAACTGACCATATCTTTTTCCACTTGGCAGTACTGAGGCAGTTCCAGATATCAGAGAGGCTTTTGCTGCTACTGAATTGGATATCTCTGAGTTTGGAAACTGTTTTTCCTGCTCCCTCACAGGTAGCAGAATTGCAGTGCCATGTGTAACTGTGTCTTCACTGTTAGTTCAAATCCCCTGAATTTCAAGCTTGAGAGGAGATTTGTGCAGATCTGTTCTCATATAACTGTAAGAAAGTTAGTGGATATTCAGCACTACCACAGCAAAGGTGAAGACATTTTGGTATATATGTATAAACTCTATCCTTAGCAGAGCTGATTTTTCATGCTGATTTCTCATTTAATAAAAAAAAAAAAAACAGTGAAAGAGTTTTTGCTGCGTACTGAAGTCCACATGCTTTCACAGTGTGTAAGCAGCATGGTTTTCAGGGCATTTCCTGATAAAAGCACTGAATAGCCAGCTATACTGTTGATGTGTTGTTGGCATAAGGAATTTTTAAGTAAATGAAAAAACATGAATTTTCTAGTTCTTTCAGATAAAATGCAATGGACATAGTTAGGAGGAAATTGTTGCAGGTTCATTTTTTTAAGTGAGCTAACTCATCAATGTTGTTTCAGGTGACCCAATACCCTTTTTGGCTCCATATAGGATATTTTCCTCTAAGATTTCTCATTACTTTTGCACTTCTTGCAGTTTCCCCAGTGGTAGCCCCTTTGTGAGCACTGAGTTAAATGGTCTTGTATTTTGACTATTAGTACTTCAACATCAGTAGAAACTCTGGAGCCTCAATGCTACCTGAAGAAAAAACCCAAACATTCTGAAGTCATTTGGTTGGACCTGTATTTGTTCTATGTGAAAGTATATGTGCTAAAACAATGTAGCTATCCAATTGCTTTAATAATAGCTGAAAACAAACTTCTGAAGTCACTCACTATCTAAGTGCTACTATCTTCTACCGGTCCCAACTCAGTATGCAGAAAATACAGACAGAAAATATAGAGATGAAAAACTCTGTCTCCCATCACTGGCCCCTTGAGCCATCCAGTATCCCAGAAATAGTTTGTTTTAAAGAAACAAGGCTTAATCATATTTATTACAAACAGAGTAAAATGTTTCTGATATCTGAAAGGCAAAGAAGATAATGTGGCCATTAGGGTTAGTCTTACTATATCCCAAGATGTCAACACGCTTGCCAAAAAATGAATTTATCAGCTCAGCATAGCAAAGAGATTTAGTTTATCTAAATGTCCTACAAGGAATAAATAGTTTACCACTGGTTTTGTAGATTGGGATAAATCTAACATTCTATTGACATATGCTATAGATTTAATTTAATGCTGTGGTTCAGATGTCTCTTCTGATAAATCTTAGGAAAATCTATGCTAAGAAGAATGGAGCTGTTTCAGTATTTATGGGATTTAAAATGCAGGGTTAGCAAAGGAAACATGTTAATTGAAACAATATTTGTGTATGTTTTTGCAGTGGTTTGGAAAAGAGTATTGCTGAAGTCTATTGGTCAGTTGGTGCTGAATACTAGAGGTGGAATATTGTTCAAGTTTTTTGCTGTTTTTCTGTAGTGAGAAAATCCTTTAATGAAGCAATTAAATATTTTAATTTCTATTTTTAGGCATATTGGAGATAACATCTGTAGAAATTGGAGTTGTGGCAGTTAAGTCCATCAAAAGCAACTATTACTTAGCTATGAACAAAAAAGGAAAAGTCTACGGCTCCGTGAGTACTTTCTTTTACTTTCTCAACAGATGGCAGTAGTCATCATTCCTCCCCCTGTTACCTACTGAAAACCCTACTTGCCCATGTATTACTTCTAAATAAAGCCCTTCATCAAAATTTCATCCTCTGGCAGTATCACATCCATATGCTCCGAGTTCCAGGCATTTATTGTGCGCACTGCTTCAGTCACATTTCTTACTAATAGCTGATTGAGAAGGATCTACAAAATGTAATCATTAAGATTAGATTTCCTTGTTTTTCTGTAGTACTACCGCATTTATTAGACTGTATTATTCTGAAATGATAACTTGTACCCAAAATCTTGTAAAACTTCAGCTGATGTCTAACCAGATTGTCTAACTATGAATGCTGAGAAAATTTCTAGAGCAGCCAGCTATAGATTGACAATACCAATTGATATGCAAATTTGTAGACAGTACAAGGAGACAGATTTTGACTGAGAAGAATTTGGCTATCATTTGAAAATTGTCCATAAATTTGCATTTATGTAAGTCTGGGTTAACTGGTCTTTCCATTAGAAAAAAAAAAAAAATTACTACCCAAATATTTTTAGCAGGAAGCAATATGACCTATAATTCTAACAAACTCCAGTTTATACTCACAGATCCACACAATGGCACAGACACCAAATTGTTGTGTTATTACATACTGTTTTCTTCGTACAAGTCAGCTACAAAGGTAATGAGCCAGTTTTCAGGCTTTAAAGAGAACAATGTAGCTAAGTCTGTCCCTGCTGAAAATTGCAAAGTAATGGTAGCCTGAAACTAGCAAGAACATCACCTAAGCTCAGGGGAACCTAAACATCTGTCCACTGTGTAAAGAAGCAATTCTTTTATGTATGTGGCTTTAGTTCATACAAACAATGCAAACTGTCTTTCTTCATCCACACTGTTTCTAGTCAGTCCTGGTTCACACAGTTACCTTTGACCCCTAACGTTGAAGAACTGTGTTAAGAATAGAAAGGCCTGAACAGAGAAATTATTCTTTAGTTCCTATAAATGCAGATTTTAATTTGAAAAATTACACTAGTCAGAAGAACTAGATGATCAGTGGTCAGTCCTTGACTGTTGATAGCTGTAAAGGTACACTGAGCAGCTGACAAAGTTAGCTTTTGTCAGTTAAGCTCCAGTGCTACACTAATCACAAGTATGCTTCTGGACCTACGAAAAGGTGCTAGCTTAAATCACCATCATAAATTTGTATGTCTCCGTTTCACACAGTCATCTATGTTGATCTACCCCAAAACCTGCAATAAGTTTTCCTACTCAAGTTGTTAGCCACTGCTGGTGTGAGAATTCATGCCAACCATACACACGCACAAAAAGAAAATGGAGCAGCTTTCATGTACCATAGGTGGAAACTGCTGCCAAAAGATTCAGTAATTCACAGTGTATTAGAAATAGTGCTGACAGGAGGATACGAATGTGGAGAGCCTTTTTTTTTTAATTCCAACTGAGATAATTTTTCAATATTCACATAATAAAATCACAACATAATGACTTATCAAAACGTATTCCATAATACTTCAGAGATTTCAAGAATGCTTCTGTTATTATTTTTCCCATCCTCCCAAAGACTTGCAGATAGACTTATATTACTACAGTGTGGCAGCTTGCAGATGGATATGAAAAGCAGAACTAATAAAAATTTTAAAAACACTCTTAAGCATGTGCACAATAGACACTGGTGCAGGGATATACTGAAATTCGTTTGAAATGAGCAAAGCAATTCTGGGCTAACACTCAGACCCCTGCCAATAATAATTCTTAGCCACTTCTCAACATCATCTCCTCTCTCTGTATTGTCTAAGAATAGAAACAAAAGTTTGGATTACAGTGTGGTTCTGCATCTCAGAAAACAAATCAGGACTCTGTCTCTCTTTTATCAGTTTTCTCTGTTTATCAGATACGTTGGCATCTGACTGACTGGTTAGAACAAGGGAGACAAGGAAGATAAATTATTTGATTTATTTAACAAAATAACATTCTGGCAGATCAGAGAAATTATTGTGGATTTGAAATGTGATTGATAGTCACCTGCTTTCTTAATATCTTGACATGGGAGGTGACATATTATTACTGCAAGTAAAAGTTAAACAATCTGTATGTAAAACATCTGTCTGTATGAATACAATCAGTATTAATGATTGTTTAAATAATTACTCATGCAAAAACGGGAAAACATTTTGAGAGACCAATTGGATTTGAGTGTGCTCATTTCTGTTAAGAAAATATGTGTGCTCTGTGGTCTGAACAGCAACTAAGGAAGACATTAATGATAGACCAGAAAATGCCTACTATATCAAAGCACTGAACACTAGCTAGTTTAACTTTTTTTGATTTAAATTAATAGAAATGAAAATGTGTATTTTTAATTATTCTTATTACCTACCCTATTTCACTTTAAACAATGTAAGTCAGTCAAGCAATGTCCTTTTTATTAATGCAGATACTTTCTATATTTTTAGCTCAATAACTAAGGATTTTCATCATAATTAAAAAATCCCTGAAATTCTCATTTGTACCATAAAAAATGTTTCATTATTCAGATATATTTCTCATCTGGTTCATAAGTAACCTAATATCACATATAATTAATATATCATACTCTGAGATTCTGATGTGTTTCTTCTTCAGCTGTGAAATGGCATCTTGTTATCTGAAATGTAGAAGAAATAAAAGGCCAGTTTTTGGTTGCAGTTTAACTACGTTGTGAATATTCCATTTTCAAAAGATTTCTGTAGAGAACATCAGTAATTATGTGATCTAACTTATTTATATGTAGTAATTGCTCATTTGTGAAAACAAAGCATTTTTCTCTTTTCTGTGGAGAAGCAGATAAAAGTTCATTTAACATTCTAGGAAAAAAAAATTGTGCTTGTATTTTTTATCCTTTCTAGTTAAACAGCAAGTAGACCTCCTTTAAAAATGGAAAACATTAATTCCTAATATTCTACCCAGAATTACTCTCAAGTTTACTTGATTATCTTCTCAATAAGACATAGGACTACATATGAATCGTAAAGGCTAGTAAATGAATCTTTTTTAGGCTAAGCCCATCAATTCAGCAAAGTATATGGGCCTCACATCCACTGTAACAGCAGTGTAACAGTGATTTATACTCATCAAAAAAGTCCTTTTTCATTGCCAGTGTGGTGTAAAGGATCTCACTTTCAATAAGAAATAAGCCTAAGCCATGCATGCTTGTTTAACACATGGTATCAATAATCTGATTCAAGATATTTAAGGGATGTATTTATTAGAACTGGGGTATGATGAACAATTCCAAGATTGCTACCTTATACTTTATGACTGAGAATTTGATTTAATATTGTTATATTCCACTACAGAGAAGTTGCATTTCTAAGTGAATTATGTCATTTCATTCCTTAATTATGCAAAACTGATCTTTTTTCCACTTTTTGCAATCTAAGTGCTGTTGATGCCGATGGTATGTACACAGTGAAATGTTACGTCTGTTCTGAAAGGGTGTATTTGTTTTATTCTTTCAACAGAAGGAGTTTAATAGTGATTGCAAATTGAAGGAAAGAATAGAAGAAAATGGATACAATACATACGCATCCTTAAATTGGAAGCACAATGGAAGGCAAATGTTTGTTGCTCTGAATGGAAGGGGAGCCACAAAGAGGGGACAGAAAACAAGAAGAAAAAACACTTCAGCTCACTTTCTTCCAATGGTAGTAGTGTCATAGATGGAGGAACTATTCTATCAGTGCAGTTGAACCAAAGGCTCTTATGTCAATAATAATTGGTAATCTTCTTGAAGAATAATTGCAAAGAAATAGTGCAGACATCTGCTTGTTTGAAAAGAGCAGGGGAATCCTCTGAAGTTTTTGTACTAATTACTGGCAAATGAAATACTTTTATTTAATTCAGTGTTCTATCTTAAGAGCAAGATAGAAGCTGAATCAAAGGGGATATAAGTCATTGCCAGTGTGAACATTTTTTTTTTCTCTCTGCAACAGAACTTAAGGAATGTGAGACAATCTAATGAATGATCTTCGTGGGGAAAGTTATTTATGGAATACTAACTCATATCAAAGACCTTAATTGCTCATTCAAGCCTATGAACAGTTAGACATGCAAGCATTTACTGGAAGCACTTGGGTCATATGCACAAATAAAGATGCTTCTGGAGAAGCCTTGTGGAAGAATGGATAGGATTAAGAAATATAATCAAAGCAGTATCAAACTGTTCTAACAAAACGAATAGTATGGTTTGCTTGTATGTTCTAACTTCACTCCTTTTTATTTCTCTCTAAATTATTTATTTAATAGGATGTTAAATATCTTTTTTTTTTTTTTTTAATTTGAAATGTTTTCCTCATTTGCTTCTTTGTTGTTTTCCCTTTTTCTCAGTACTTCACACAGGATTGATAAGTTAAAATATCAGAACCTTGTAAGTACTGTGGGAATAGGTAATGGACAAGGCTTTAAAGGCAGAATTTAGTGTGTATAATCCGTTTTGTTTTTTTTTCTAACTCTCTTGCACTTAAGCAAAAGACCAAACATGCAGTGCTTGGATTAATGGTATTGTGTGTCTTTATGTTTGAGAGGTTTTCTTACTTATTAGCACTCAAAAACAAACTTCAAGAAATACTTGCTTCAAAGGGACTTTCTGCTATTTTTAAACTGAGAGCAGGGGCCACCTCTGTACTTGGGTATCGATGTATCTGTGTGTATATTCATCTGACTTTGACTTCAGTGTGGAATTAAGAACAGATGCATTGCAATCAGTAAGAAATTTTGCAGCAAGCACTGGGCTAGAACCTAGATGTGGACAGTCCTGTTAAAATCGCTGATAATTCCATTGTTAAAATTAAACAATATGAAATTTCCAAGAGTGACAGAATCACAGAATTGTAGGGGTTGGAAGGGACCTCCAGAGATCATCGAGTCCAACCCCCCTGCCAAAGCAGGTTCCCTACACCAGGTCACACAAGTAGGCGTCCAAGTAGGAGTTAAATTTAGTCTCTGAAAGATGAGATAGAAACACAGTCCTGCACTCCCTACTCAGTTAATATGGCCATTCAGCACATTTGTCCTTGTTAACAGCTTGAAGAGTCACAGAAAAAGAATGGGAATAATACCTAAATAGGGACTGAGGGACAGGGAATCCAAAATCATGTTCGTGCATTTATCAGAGATTATTACTCACATGTATATTATATATGAGAGCCAACAAAAAAGCTGTGCTGGTATCCAGCTTTAGCATGCCTTTCATATCCACCTTAGTCACTGAAGGCTCCAAATGCATAATATCCAGCACATTTTCATTAAGTGTTACTATTCCCATGGCTTAACTTGAGCAACTGCAGTATAACAAAATTAAGCATAATATGAAGTCTGTTCAATTAAAGGTACATAAGGTTTGTTTTATGTTTTGCTTTACTCTGTAATTTTATAGAGCTCTGGATAGCTCACCAATGTAACCATATTGAGATTCATTTTGTTAGAGCAGATAAATAGAAAACAGTACAACAAATAATTTGTACCACTGTCTTCACATTGTATTCCACTAAATAAATAATTAAGCCTTTGCAGTGTCTGTAGTAAGAAACAGAAGTAGTATAATATTATTTTGTTCTAAATACTTTTAAGTGATAACTATGAGATTATATTGATGATGCAGTTTTATCTTCAATATTTCTTGTTGTGAAAAAGTCATTTTTATTTTTATTGTTTGGAAACTGTATTTTGGTACAAAGGAGAGCCTTGCTTAATGTTTCTTTTTGAGAATGTTTAATCTCTATAAAGGCTGGTGTTGTTGGAATCTTCTCTAAGTTATTTAAGTCAATGTTTAACCAGCACTTCAATCTTAATCTGTTATTTAAGTATTAGCTGTTAAAAAAAAAAAAAAATAGCTTTCCCATGAAAATACAAAGTGGTCAGACTGTATTTCCTGCCTTTAAATAAAGTTAACTCTTTTAAAACCAGAAAGTAATTCGAGACACAACATTCTAACTGATAGCTAACATTACATTTCATGGTTCTTTAGCTTGCTTCTTCACAAATGAGGTTTTCTTGAAATGGAAATAAGAACTTAAGATTTTAAGTGTAATTTTAGGTGATCAGCAAAATTTAATGACCATAATAAATGTGAATTTCTGCTGTTAAAAATTTGTAATCGATAATTAGAACTGACAAGACATAGTGGACCACCCACAATGAACATTCAATGTTAGCCTGGGCAAATGCAGTATTGGATTACTACTTAAAGAACATTTAGGGTACAAATGAGGTTCTCTTGACAGAATTACCTAGTTTATATGATCAGGGGAGGGTTTTGCATAAATATTATCATAGTACTCAAAACACTATGCTGCTCAGAGGCCAAAATCGGGAAAAATATCACTTTTCCAAAGTGAGTCAGGAGACATTTCTAACATGAATTTCTTAGAATGAACCAAAATAAAATGTCCTTGAAGGAAACAATGATTCCTGCATGATTAACATCTGTAATACCCACTGGTGGTGGGAGGGGAGCAAGCTGCAGGCCTTTTTTCTAGAGTTTCACAGTTCCTCAACCATATCCTCTGTTCTCTGTCAGACAGACTCTTGAGGAGGAGAGATTTAAAAAAGAAAAGAAAAACAAAAATCACTGAGCAACAATGTATAGCATGTTATATTTAAATAAAAGTAATAAAATATGGGGAATAGAGACTAAGACTATTGTCTTTGTTTTATTAACCTGAATTGATACTGCAAAATACATATAGAAAGGGAAAAGACACGTTGTACTGCAGGATGTGGTTTGCTGCTATATAGCACTGAAACAAAACAAAAATCACTAGGACATTTATAAAGTTTCTTTAATTCTTTGCATGTGTAAGTCAGCTATCTCCACACTAATAACAACCAAATGCTTTAAATTCTTCCCATAAGTATTCAAATTCACCTAGTTTATACAGTGGAAAAAATAATGAATTTAAAGCAAGGACTTTTGATGAAAGAATGGTGGATTTTAGGAAGAAGAAGGAGTACTTACACTTTTAAAATAAACTTTGGAGAAGGAAAAATAGTTGCACTTTATGTAAGATTTCATTCAAGGCATTCCAGGTTATAAAGTTCTTTAGAGATTAGTAAACTTAACTAATACAAGTTGGTGAGTCAACATTTGTAATCCATGCCTCTGCTGAAACTGAGTATCTGCGTTCACACAGTCAGTCATAGCTGCTTCAAGGACTTGACCTTGAAAATAATGCAGGAAGACACTATTTTGAAGTGTCATTTTTTACTCTCTTAAATTAGATTGTGTGGCAGGATCCATACTCCTAATTTCCTATTCACTTGGAGTGAGAATACGTTAACACAAAAACATGTGTAACTGTTCTGCTACAGTTAGTCCATGTATGATTGTTATAGAATAATTAAAGTTGGAAAAGATGCCTGAAATCATCTAGCTCATCCATCAACCCAGCAGCACCAATATTGCCCACTAAACTTTGTCCCTAAGTGGTGAATGAATGCATTTCTTGAACACCTCCAGCATCAGTGACTTCACTACCTCCCCGGGTAGCCCATTCCAATGCTTCACCACTCTTTCACAGAATAAATTTTTCCTGATATCCAACCTGAGCCTCTACTGGTACAACTTCAGGCCATTCCCCCTCATCTTGTCACTAATTATCTGGGAGAAGAGGCTGACCCCCATCACACTACAACCTCCTTTGAAATCATTGTAGAGAGTATAAGGTGAGCCTCCTCTTCTCCAGACTAAGCAATCTCAGTTCCTTCAGCTGTTCTTCATAAAACTTGTGCTCCAGACCCCTCACCAGCTTTGTTGCCCTAACTGACTGAACCATTTCAGTGCAACCACAAATAACAGAAAAACACATGCAAAGTTATTTTCCCATCACAGTATGAGCAAGAAATGGAATATGAAAATTATTTTGTTTTGCACCTATCAGATTAAGATTTACAGCTATGTCTACCCACTCAAAATATTTGAACCTCATTTTTAACTATATGGAAGCCTTCTCAGACTATGTTTTGTTTAGGGATTAACTATCTAGTACTGGCATTTTCCAATGAAGCACAGTGAATCTCACATATCTGGCTGATGTCTTTTCACTCACTAATCACAGAAAAAACACATGCTGTGTCCTTTGCTCAAACCAGTAATGTAAAGAAAACATGCCACTATGAAAGGAAAAATAAAGAAACAATGACTAAGCCTCAAGTAAGTTATTAGGAAGCAGTGATCTTTAGGTTACAGCAGATTAAATGAGGAGAATTTGGACTCCTGAAATTCCCTACCAGAACTTCTAAAGAAATTCCATACAGTAACACTCTAAAACAAAATACTAACCCGTACACTTGAATAAATAGATATGCTGATGGAAATGTCTTGCTAGTCCATTGTCAAAATATAAGACTATGTGCATCACAGTACATGAAAGAAAAAAAAAACAACACAGGTATCATCCTAGTGTATATTTCTATATGAAATGTGAAATGACACTAATAGACAATATGGTGTAGCAGAAAAGCAGAATCTACTATTTCATCAGAGCTTAGACTCTGTATGTTGAGATAATGCAGTAGAAGTAGAATCAGAATACTACAGCCTCTTTATAACTACTGTATTAAAGTGAGTGTGTGGCTTCACTGGGCTTCAGTGTAGCCAAGATTCATTCAAGACCCAGATGTCCTATTTCCACATTCAAACTACTCTGACTTGATTTAAATAATGTTATATGATTTTTTTTTTAATTTATTTTTGGATGATGAGTCTGTTTTGCCAGTTGCGAAAATAACTTCCTTAACTCTTTCCTCTGATAAAAGTCTTCAGAAAAATCTGAGGAAAGGCCAAATCTGGTCTACACCTGAATGTGCAGTTTTGTCAAGCTATAAACAACTAAACAAGCAGATGTTCATTCAGTGCACAGTATACAGGAACCTGCATTATTCAGTGCGGTGTGTACGAGTGGGAAGAAACACAGCAAACTCAAAATGTTCTCTCATTTGTTTACACACATTTTTTTCCTGCTGCCCAGCTCTCAGGGGACTACAAACAAAGTTTATCATTCTTTCATAACTGTCCTGGAACAAGCCATTCATGGCATCAAAATATTTTGAGCTTCTAGTATCAGTATGCTTCAGATACATTAAGAGCCTAAAAAACCTAACCTGTTTATACTTATTACAAAAGACCAGTATAGGAACAGCATAATCTTTCAAAGAGTCAAAAAGTACCTTCTAGATGTTGCAGCCAACACTCTGAGATCTTCCAAGCAATATTTCTAACAAAATTTTGATTCACTCAAAAATGGGGAACAGAAAAAAAAATGATATCATGATTTTTATTTACATTCTTCATTGCTTTCTTAACTGTTCTAAATACATGACCTATGCTAGTTTTTTACTAGATCTTACTTCAGTAAGTTATACAGTATAGAGATCTCAGCAGTCTTATAAAAGAAGGGTCCTGGTTTGGGTCCTGAAGTCCTTGCATTTCTCATTGTTGGAATACAGAAGTGTACTTCAAGGACATACAAAAAAAGTTACTCAAATTCTGTGCTCATTCCTCTTACCATACTTTGACGCTCACTGTGTGAGACAGAATATTTTACATGATAGTTTTTATTCCAACACAGTATGATTCTTACACTTCATTTGCTATCCCAACCATCCCATTCCAACTTTCAGACTCTCAAAAATGCCCATCAAACCACTGCTCTTATGCGGATGAACGCATACACAGTACTGGTTGTGCCAGCACCATTCAGACTAACTGTAGTTATATAATTCATTTGTGAAAGGTAGACACAGTATACACTCTAGAAAGCCAGATCCTCACCCTCTACTCTCCCTGTAATATCCATGTCCAAGAAAATCAAAATACAATGGCATTGCACTAGAAATAATGAAATTATTTTTGCACAGAATAATACATAGATCAGTTCAAAAGTAATGCCTTCAATTTGTTTCTATGGAAACTACAGCTGATACAAAGAGCACAATAACAGTATTTGATAGAGCAAAATCTCAGCTACAAAACACTATTTTACAACATAGCCACCACCACTAGCTATGCATTTTCATCAGCGTTGAGCAAGAGGCTGCATGCTGTACTCCTAAAAATCATCAGGAGTGGAGGAGACAAACTGTTGCTGTCTACTACTGAAATGAGTTATACACTTCCTCACTGTGCTCACATCCACTATTCAGTCTCCATAAATGTTCAGCAATTGTTGATGGATATCTGTGGGTGCCATTTTTCCCACTTGAAGAAATTTAGGGACATACCTTTGCTTCATGTGCACTTCCATATCAGATACCAGTCTGTCAAACTTCCCCTCTACTACTGTCTGTCACATGGCAACAGAATATAACAGGATACTGGTTGGAAAATTTGGCCTTTACTGCCATATCATCAACATCCGTTTCTGACACTGTTGGCCAACATCATAAAATAAAAGGTATTACTTTCAAAGCAGCCCTTGTAAATTAAATTGCTGTGAAAGAGGAACGCAGTAACAAATTCTTCAAAATAATCCTGGACTGCTAGTCCTAAAGGCTGAGCTCTTCCAAAAGCCACAATGCTTATGACCCTCATATGACAACATTGACATACCTCCTAGTATATACAGACATCATCCGATTTTGAGATAAAATCTCATTTTGGAGGAAGCCATTCGCTTTCCCAAATAATTAGATTTGTTCCTCAAGTATATAGAGACTGCCTAAAACACGAGGTGTTGATTCTGATGCCAATCCAATTGGGTTGCTCTCTTATTTTGAGGAATGCTCAATTCTGAATGGATGCCACAGTAACTACTCTATAATACATATGGATATGAAATGATTTTGCAGATAGGAAAGATTCCTTATTTTATTTAAGGAATTTAAGAATAAAATGATCAAACTGAAGCAAGGGAAATTAAAGTTTATTTGAAAAAAAAATCCTAATACTAGTGGCTCTGAAGAAAATTTTAATTTGGAAAATTTCACAACTTCCTTTCAGAGTTTTGAGCACATAATAGTCATCAGGGATGGCTTAGGTTGTTGAATCTGCCATAGGCAGGAGGACGGACAGTCACTATTCCAAGATCTCTTACGGTAATATTTTCCCTAATTCTGTGAAACCCATGACTAAATCTCTATAAAACAGTAAAGATTGTACTCGGTCAGATGCGGCTTAATTCTACATTCAGTAACAGCAGGCTCAAGCTTAAACCTGTAACAAATGTGTGGAGATCCTATTAAAAGCTCCTATGGCCTTTATGGTCCTTCTCAGCCCAGGCCTTTCTATGATTCTATGACTAAACGTAGTCCAAGTGCAAAGTTTTTCAGCATAAACTCACTCAGGAAACAATCGCAAGTTGATATTACTGAGAGACGCTGTTTGGGTCTGACTCAATCCTCAATCACACACTGATTGCAGGAAGCACGACTGACCTGAGCAGTTACAGCACACAAAGTTCAAT